TCTAGTTTTACTTTTTCTTAACTCCTCATAATATCTCTCTCTCTCTATATATATATATATTCCTTAACCACAGAGACAATTGCTCGTCCTTCATTTTTTCATGAAAACCAGGCAGAGCAGTGGAGCACAGCAGTTCAGGGGGAAAGGGGTTCTGCTAACCATTACCGCCCATGTGACGTAATTACATCATCACCTATGGTGTGTACATGATGACGTATCTACCTACGTGATGACATCACTTGTTGAAAATCAAACGGCTCTATTGGGGCGGCTGTGGTAGAGTGGTTAGGGGAGTCNCACTTTACAAATGATAGCTTTCTGAACACCAAAGGGAATTTAACAGTAAACTAATAAGACTGTCACAAAAAGACGATGAGGTCCCAACACTCAGAATTACACAAACACCGCTGTCACCTGCCCAGGTAGGCTGAAAAACAACTCACGTAATTTTGTTCGGTTGTTTCGTCTATCTGTGATCTTCGTTTAGCTTTTGTAATTTATATTACAGTCTCTGTTTCGTTGGCTTACACCACATGTTAGTAATGAATAAATTAGCTTAACATTGATGTGTGTGTACTGTATGTGAAGATGACTATTTCTTATCAAGCTGAAACGTCTCTACTGGCTTCGGTTCTTCAGAAAACTTCTTTCTGGGTCAGACATGAGATTATTCAAATAAGGTTCAATTGTATCCTAATTTGCTAATTTCCAAATCCAATATTGTATAATTTCATATTCCCAATTTTATATTTCATAACAACCGAAGGTGACATAGTTATTTTATTTTAGTATAGAATTGAACTATATGCCAGAGAAAGATCTAATACTTTCCCTTTAACAATGTACTGATCAAAATCTTGGTTTAATTTGTGTTGCATTTGCATTATAACTGAATGAAATGCATTTACAGTTTAACAAGCAAAGACATTGTCAAGTAAATCATGACATGATTATGACAAACATTTACATAACCGCTAATATTTGCCAGTGGAAATTAGGGAACTTAAAATTTTAGCGTGCGCCAACAGCAGGAAGTGATCCTATGAGGATCCAGATGTATAACCCTGAAAATTAAGAAAAAAATCAACGTTCCCATGAGGAAGCAGAGCCTGAGGACCCTGGGCCGGACTCTCCAATCACTGGTGCCGAGGTCGCCGAGGTGGGTAAAAAGCTCCTCAGTGGCAAGGCACCGGGGGTGGATGAGATTTGCCCGGAGTTCCTTAAGGGTCTGGATGTTGTGGGGTTGCATTTGTTGACGCAACTCTACAATTTCGCATGGACATAGGGGGCAGTTCCCCTGGATTGGCAGACCGGGGTGGTGGTCCCCCTATATAAAAAGGGGGACTGCAGAGTGTATTCCAACTATAAGGAGATCCCACTTCTGAGCCTCCCTGGTAAGGTCTAATCGGGGGTTCTGGAGAGGAGGGTCTGTCGGATAGTTGAATCTCAGGTTCAGGAAGAGCAGTGTGGTTTTCATCCTGGTCGTGGAACAGCGGACCAGCTCTACACCCTCAGCAGGGTCCTGGAGGGTGCATGAGAGTTCGCCCAACCAGTCGACATGTGTTTTGTGGACTTGGAGAAGACCGTGTCCCTCGGGGACTCCTGTGGGGGGTATTCCGGGAGTATGGGGTACCATGCCCATTGATACGGGCTGTTAGATCCCTGTACGACCGGTGCCAGAGCTTGGTCCACATTACCAGTAGTAAGTCGGACTTGTTTCCAGTGAGAATTGGACTCCGCCAAGGCTGCCCTTTGTCACCGATTCTGTTCATAACTGGCTGGGGAGAGGAAAGTCTGGGTCTCTCTGCTCAGACTGCTGCCCCCGTGACCCGACCCCAGATAAGCAGCAGAAAACGGACGGACAGACGGACGGCTTCAGTACTTTGTTTAATAGCTATTCCCATGGCTAAACATATAAAGTCTGCATTATACTTATGTGCTACTTGTTGTCTTTTTGGCAGGTTTAATTCACTTTTGGCCTTCAACATTTTGTTGAAAATATTTCCATTAAGGCTGTGTCTCAGTTCGTGGGCTGCATCCTCATGAGTATATGGCGCACCTGGGCGCACACACCCCAACGCATTGGGATGAGCATTCACTCATCTTTTCACCAGAAAAATAACTTCACAATTAAAATGTTATACGTAAATACATTTTAAAAAGCATTAATAATTTGGGTTTAGCTCCAGTGTCAGTACTTGTAGTTGCATTTTAATTAACGTCTAACTGCAGCATGAATTTTATCATCTAAGTTACTAAACTACACGTCCATGATGAATTTCCAAACTACGCCGACTTGTTAAAAAAAACTTCATTGTCTTCATTTATCCATTTAGTTAGTGAAACCTAGGATATCCTCGGCCGGGAAGGATACTCGGGTGCATCCTTGGTTTTTGAGATTTTGTGGGTCGCATTCCTCGGCCGCATGATGAGGAACCTTCGAATGGGTTCAGCACTCAGCACGGGGCAGTGACGTGTGTGGTCAACAAATGTGCACTCATGAGAATGCAGCCTATAAATTTAGACACAGCCTTTATTTTGCTGGCCATGTTTCTTCTTCTGCATATTAAAAAATAGTTGTTAAACATCTGCTTGGTGCACTACCGCTACGAGTGGTGCAAAAGTGTATTGCAACTCAGTCAGTTGAAAACCAATAGCTTCCTGTGGCCCGCACAACCCACAGTTGAAAAACAGATTTTTCTTTTGAGGCCCTCAAGGGGGCGATTGCGGCCCATTTGTGGGTCGCGGGCAAAGGGTTAAAACTTTCTGTTTTAGAGCACACAAACAAACTGGAAGAGTCTTGGTGCCACTTTAGCACAGCTGACCAAGATATACACATTTAGTATCTGAAGGTGTGGAAAACAGAGAACAGTTTGATTGAAAATCAAGGCTCTTCACTTGGCTGTAGTCTTAAACTGTCAATATCTGACCAAAGTCAATTCTGACAAATGACTGAACAAAACCCATCTCGTCAGAGTTTCCCAATGTTAGTGGTTAGGCCACCCTTCGTACTGGTTGATGACCTCACATCACTCTTTTCAACTCATTAGAGCAAGTTTGGATCACAGTGAATTAGGATAACTTTCTTTAGTGTGATGGTGATCATGATACCTTAGCATTAAGTATGCATCAAACTGTTTTTTTTTTCTTCTTCTATTTTAGAGTATTGTTCTTCTTTCAGCTGCTTCCTTGTTCAGGGTTGCCACAATGAATAAACTCACATGACAGATTTGGTTATTGTTTTACACCAGTTGCCCTTCCTGATACAACCTGAGCTTCGACTTGCAGCCTCAGGATTTCAAGACCAAGCTTCTGCAGCCCCCTCAGACTGAAAGGATTGAACTGTAATGAACTGGTTTGTAACTGGATTAAATGTAGCTGAAATGACTTGGATGTAATTGAATTTAAATTGTGCCTGCTTATTTTATTTTATTTTATTTTATTTATTTCTGACTGATGACCTGTGGTGACTTTAGCTGCTGTATAAATGTCATTAGGTCGAAGAGAAAAACACAACCTCCGGGTCTCTTTATGTCTGGCTGCAGGTTCCTTTCAGAGCAGCTCTGTCTTTTAATTACTTCCTGTCAGGTTTAAACACCCACCACCCCCTTTTCCCGGTGTATTTCAATATTTCAGACTCAAGAGAGCCTCCTGCAGATTTTATACGCGATTTTATCCGAAAGTGTTTCTTATGCAAATAGCCCACAGGGCCTGTCAAAAACTGAGAAAATCTCTTTTTGAACCAACACATGTGAGAATACATGAATTTTTTTTAAAAATCTGGGCTGTGTTTAAGAGAGTTATAAAGGGGGGGGGGGGTGATGTCTTAAACTGCACCTGGATTCAAGATGTGTCTGAGGCTGAAAATTTCTGTTTAGCTTCTTTAAAAGAAACAACTATTTATTGCACACGCGTACTTCTGCTGTGAAAAAGGAAGATGTGCATGCGAGCGCTGGCTTCACAAATCGAGAACCCTTTGCCCTGCTTATTGCTGGGATGCTTTGTGGGCGGCATGGAGGGGAGCATAATTAAAATAGTTTCTGAGAGAAACAGCACACCACATCTGAGGTTCCACCCTCTTCCAACATCTGACCACATCAAGAGGATATCGCTTAGAAACGGCCACCAGAACAACCTCTGGTACACACGGCCACGGCTGATGTTTTGGTGTGTTGTCTGACTCGTGAAGGGGTTTCAGGAGGCATGATGCACATTTGTAATTAAAACGAGGCTGCGTTTTTTTYTKTTTTTTTTTTTTTTTTYTTTTTTTTTTTKWTCAKGRAGGTAAATTAAGTGACACGGGCAGCTCACTGGGTGATGTATGGGAGGGGAAGACAAATTAACCATCTACTCTCTGGGGGATTCTCAGCGGAGGCCTTCATAACAGCAGTGGAGCAGCGCCAAAGGGCAGAGAGATTTGTAGATGATGGTGCTAATTACCAGAATGCAAACCATAATGTGACCAAGATGGAAGCAATTTAAGCAGTAGTCATTTAGCCTGCTGCTCTTCCGCCCACCGGCTGCTGCCGAGCCAGAGCCAGGGCATTAGGATGGGAAAAGTCTGGGACAACTTGTTGGTGAAGGATTAAAGAATAATGCTTGTTGGAGGGACAAGTTATCCAGTGGGAACCCTGTGACACCAAATTAATTTGTCTTGAATCAAATGATACAAGTCAAAGGTGACAGGTCAGACGGAGGCTGTAGATGTTTGAGAACAAAAGAGATTTCCAACCTGTAGGTGCTTGTCTCCACTTCCTGAAGCTCTCTGCTGCTGGAAGCTTCCATCTGAAGTAAATTAGATATTTATACAAACTTGAACTCAGCCTGTTGGGGCAGTTTGCTCTACATTATTGAAAAACAAACGTCAAATACATATGTCTTAAAACATCTGAAGTGAAGCTTGCAGCGTGTTTGGGGGGAGGGAGGGGAGGAGGCAGGCCTTGTGTAGGTGTAAGAATTCAAACTGTGTTTGCAGCTTTTTTTYCCTCTCCTGTCTTTCTTTTAAGATGAAGGAAGGTTCCAGCAGCAGCAGACTTCTTCCTCACCTGCTGCGGTGGCTGCCTCAGCCTGTATAATTTTGGGATGTCTAATTGCTCTTTTAGGATATTTCAGCAGAGGAGTTCAGAGGGGAGAGCTGTCCCGCGCTGTGGTACTATGTAATTTTATCCATGCCGCTGTCTCTCACTTCACACAGGGCTGATACCTTTTTTGCCTCCCCTCTCCTTTGTATCAATTGGTCGAAGTTCAGCCTTTTGTCGCCACAAGCTTCTTTTATATCTGCGCTCAGTCTGAGGCGAGCCTCTCAGTCCGCTCCACAGGGGCTGCTGTCCGCGGAGAGGCGAGGAGGATCCCAGTTTTAGGGAGGAGAGGAGGGTGTGTGTGTGTTTGTTGGGGGGGTGGTGTCCCGGTCGGCTGCGCTGTCAAGAGTTGCGCCTCTCGGTGTTGGATGCGCGCGCGCGCGCGGCGGGGACCGAAGCTCTCCAGCATTTAGGGGTCCCCCGATCCTTTTTGAATGGGACCCGGAGGGCTGGACGGGAGTCGTCGGTTTTTTCGCCACAGTCGCCCCGCTCGGACCATGCCACGATGCTGACGATCCCGCTGCTGCTGCTGCTGGTGCTCAGCCTGCTGGACCCCGTGCGTCCCCGGGCCCGCTGCGCGCCGGGCCAGGGCCAGGGCCAGGCCTGTGACCCCCGGCAACGGAGGGACGCCGGGGGCCGCGGAGGAGTGTACGAGCACCTCGGAGGAGCGCCGAGGCGCAGGAAGCTTTACTGCGCCACCAAATATCACTTACAGATCCACGCGAATGGGAAAATAGACGGTTCACTGGAGGAGAACAACCCGCTCAGTGAGTACTCTCACTTTTTTTTATTGAATTAGAAAAATCAGACAGAAATTTATATTTCGATTAAAAACACGTTTTTACGACTTTTCAGTGTGTGCGCGCCATTTATTTCTAATTTAACATAACTAATATAATTAATCCATGAGGAAGTCTCGGGGGCCACTCGGAGGAGGAYTGGGGTGGGGGTCTTGTTCACTCCCGTGTGTGAAATCATGCCATTGCAAAAGGTGCAGGTTAATCTCCAGAGTTCCCCCCACTTCACCCCCCAAAATAAGAAGCATTAACATCCAGGCGCGACAAAAGGCGCTGTCTTTAGCGGATGTGTTTATCTAATCAGAGGCTGTTAGGAGCCTCTTCACGGCGCTGAATGAGCCAATCAATGCGCTGATTAAAGGGGCCAATAAACACACTCAAAGAGGCCCCTAAGTAGGTCTATCACTGAAGTCAACTTTTATTTCATCTGCAGTTGAACATAGTAACATATATTATGTTCTCTGGTAAAAAAAAAATGTTATTGGCTTTGATTTATCAGCAGGTGTGTTTTAATTTAGTCTGCTTTGCTTTGGGACACATTTGTGTTTGAAACTGTTCAATAAACAAAGTGTTTTTTTTTTTTGTTGTAGCATTAAAATAAATTTGAGCAAATTAAAATGAGCTAAAAATAATTACCTTATTTACCTGTTTTGTTTATTCTTGTGTGTGTGTGTTTGTTTCAGGCATAATGGAAATCACTGCAGTGGAYGTGGGTGTCGTGGCCATTAAAGGGCTTTTCTCAGGCAGATATCTGGCCATGAACGATAAAGGAAGGCTGTACGCCTCGGTCAGTGGCATGTTCTTTTTTAAAAGTTATTTATTCTAAAGAAAAACATTGTATTCTGTAAAAGAGAAAAATGGCTCAGATTCATCTCAGTACACACAGCTGCACAGTTCATACAAAACTCAGATCATACACTKAACCACATCCTTTCTCTTCCACATTCACAGAACTTAAAAAGAAAAATAAAAGCCTCGCATTTGACCAACATCTAAAGTTCATATATTATATGTCTGTTGATGCTTGTGGCTCACTCCCTCTCTTGTTTCCCCAGGAAGTGTTCAATAAAGAGTGTGAGTTTGTGGAGCGCATCCACGAGTTGGGATACAACACCTACGCATCCCGCCACCACTCCACAGAGCAGCCGMTGCCCCCAGGAGGAGGAGGAGGAGGTGGAGGTGGTGGCGGCGGCAACAAGCGCCGCGCCAGCATCAAAAAGCAGTGGTACGTTTCCATAAACGGCAAAGGAAGGCCGCGGCGAGGCTTTAAAACCCGAAGCACCGACAAGGCCTCGCTCTTTTTGCCTCGGGTGCTGGGCAACAAGGACCACGAGATGGTGAGGAGGCTGAGGGACAGTCAAGGTGCGCACCACCACCACACGCACAACCAGGGCGAGCGGCGGAGGCGCCGGCATCACGCCAGGAAAGGCCGAGGCTGACGGTCAGGCGGCTGGACCCCGAGCTCCTGGGACTCACCCCACAGATGGATTCTTGGCCTCGGCACATACTGCAGCTCCACTGCGACGGAGGATTTGGGGATAACGGCTTGGATCCTGCACTCTGGATTTAGTGGAAAATTTGAACCGTGTGCACAGAGAAAGAGACCGCAATCCACTGAGAAAAACGAAAACTCACAGGCCATCCTAAATGTCTGGGCTTTCATGAAGTCGGCCTCTTTCAGGAGACTTGGACTCCTTCCACTGCTGTATAATCCTCCCTGTCCGAGTTCTTCCAAACGCTTCTGTCTTGTAACAAATGTATTAAGATAGTTGAGAATATCCATCCTATGTTGTAAAAAAACACATCTTTTAAGCTGTCATTTCACCCCCAGCTTCAAGTAAACAGCTTTTCATCCATCCCACACAGAGACAACAACTAATATTCAGTCATTCTGAAGTTCTGTCAAACATGACGGAAAACAAAGAGAGAACTTTACTCGGAGAAGCACTTTTAAAAAAGGAAATGTCAGATTCATGCTAAGAAGCATTTAGAAATCAGGAAGAGGAGCTTTTGTCTGCTCCTTTCTCACAATGTGATAGTCTACTGTCTGTAAACTCAGAGAGCTATACTTTGTTTTATTTTACTAGTGATATGAATATTTATTTGGTGTGTGAGTTGTAACTTATTGATAAGCCTGTTTCTGCCTTTTACCAGCTGTTTGTTTCATAGTTTCACTCACTGCCTGGTCCCAACATAAACACCACGGTATTTACCTAAAAAAAGGAGAGAGAGAAAAAATGTCTGATTTCTTCTTTTTTTCACAAAATTATTTGTCTTTAAAAACTCGATTGTAACTTTTTTACCATTGGTCGAAGCAACTCTGACAAGGTTTGATGAGTGTTTGAGTTTTACGTGTGGAAAAACATGCTGGTTGTGTTTTACTCCCAGGTTTGTTCAGCTCTCTGATTGGTTTGTCCAAAAAAAAGGCACAACAGGATATTTAGTTTCTGATGAAAAGTGTTAAACCACAAACCCTCTTAGAGCTTCACTTTCTGCCCCAAAATGTCAGCATATCTAATAAAAGTCATATAAAAGACAAAATTTTGTGTAGAAATGAAGTAGATAGGATCCATAAGGTTAGATTATTGTATCTTTTAAGGGAAAATGAGGTTTATTTTAGGAGTTCTACCCTCCCTAAATCTCTCCTTCCCTATTTCCTTGTCTACATATCCATCTCTCCCTGCTGCAGCTTGTTTCCTAAAGTGGCCACCTGTTGCCGCGACACGGCTGAGCAGAAACCGCAGGGATGGTCCCATCAATGAGAAACTCACCACTAAGCAGCGCCGCGACTCGTTTGGAAGTTCAGGTTTTGCCCTGCCTTGTTCCCATCTATAGGCAGCGGCGTATAAAGCCTTGTCATTCTATACCTGCAGGCAGGGGAGGCTTCCTGGTCGGGACAAAGGCTCCTCCCAGGGGGGGCCTGGGAAGCGATGCTGCCTGAGACTTTTAAAGCTTCTTTTTTGAAACGCCGACCAAAAGCTGCRGCCGATAAACAAGGCCGGCCCTCCTGAAAGCAGAAACTGTGTCATACAAAGTGTAACACCTCGCCGTGGCTCGTTATGAATGCCGGACTCTAATATTACTCACCAGGAATGCAGGACTTGAGAGAGGTTAGGGGTCTTTTGTGGCCCTCGGTCCAAAACCCGCCTGCTTTATTTAAGAGCATTTTATCTTCTGATAGTCACTTCTCTTTTTCAGCACATAAACTTCTGGAGCTGCTGAACTTTAACTGATTATCAGCTGGTCAATAAAAAAAAAGAATCATCTGTAATAAACCTGAACGTGTTCTCCTTGAGGAGTATTTTTACATGAATTACATAACAGGTCAACAATTCTAAGCCCTTTGTTGGGAGAAGAAAATATAAAAGGTTTCTTTCATCACACTCTGAATAAGCAGGGTATTACTGGGACATGTTTTCAACCCTTGGTGGGCAGCATGTGTGCTTTAGGATCCCCCTTCGACTGACTGAGCCGATACATCATTTTTCCTCAAGGTGAAAATGATTAAAAAAGCTAAATTTGGTTTGATTTACAATAGATGTTAGTTCTGGCTTTATAAAAAGTAAGCATTCCCAAAGTAAAACAGGTAAGAAAGTTGGAGAAAAAAATGTTCAAAAATGATAATCAAGTCAATAAAAATAATTCATGCTTTCCGCAAGAGGCAAGAAAAAAAAAGGAAATTTTGGGGAAAGCTACATAAAGGGTAATTTTGCAGAACTAAATCCTCTGGTGAAACCAACCAGATGTTTACCACAGCTCCAGTTCCTGCAGGTGGAGGCAGGAAGTGTGTGAACAGTGACCTCTACAGGCAGAATCTGTCTTTTCTCCTGACCACTCGATGCCCAACAGTTGTCTCAGTTTGATGTTGATGCCCTCTGCAGACAGCTCAAAGCCACCAAACACTAAAACCTCTCCAAATGATACAGAAGTGAAACAGTGAAGGATATCCGTTCAGTTAGAGTTAACTAAAAAAATCTGTCTTCTTAAAAAATGTGTCACATAATAAAAAAAAAACTTGTAGTTTCAGTAAATCCGGAAAATTTGACGATATTCTGAAGAATTTTTGCATTCGCTTATAAATTTGAGTTGCTGCATTTTGATGATCAAGCACCAAAGACATGTTAAAGCARCACTCGTGACTCTCACTTCCAACAGCAGAGGCAGACAGAAACACAGACTGAAAAGTAAGCCTCAAACAAGTGGTTACAGAGCAAAAAAAACCTAAGATTTTAAAAACTTTTGAACTGTGAGCAAAAGACTCTGATGATCACAGGCATGTTGTTTTTTTTTTATCTTTCTGGTGTTTCCTGTAGGACATATGACAAGTTAAAGAGACTTTTCCCTCTCAGATTTGACAAGAAACATTTGAAACTAAACTATAACTAAAGTCTATGGACCTTCAGCTGTGCCCGCTCCACTCTCAGAAGGAATTTAATAGAAAACTATAAAATATAAAGCTTCGAGAGGCACACTGGGTGAAAGAACACAAAAGAGCCTACATTTTGCCCTTGTACAAAATAACAATAATTTAAAGAGGAGGGGGAAAGGGTTCCAGAAAAGGGGGGAGTTTGCAAAAACTTTTTGAAAGTTTCACCCACTCAAAAGATTAGTGTGACATCAACAGTCAGTTGAACTTTCTGAAAAAAGTAGTATTAAAATGTATCAAACTTAGTCTGTGTTTGTGAAAAAACTTCTGATGTCAGTTCAGTCAGCTAAGCTTCAACTTTCTGTGACTTGTTTAAACTTGAAACCAAGTTTGATGACAGAGGTGTACCCTAAAGGGCTGTAAGGTGGGCTTTTTTTCACTCATCTCACTACAATCCCATTATTGGATATTAGAAGAGCTTACATTTGTTTGTTTGTTTGTTAAATTTCATACAAATCATTCAGCGTGCTTTTATCTAAAAGTACAGCTTTTTTGGAGCTTCAAATTCTGATAAAAACCATCAACATAGTACTGGGTGCTAAATGATTGTGTTTTATTCAAAGAAACTGCACACAGAGCCTGGAAAACCATTTTTTGTTCTTTAAAARCAGAAACATCATCAATTTGCAGAAGAATTGTCCTCTCATGAACAAACATTCCCAGTATTCTTCTGTTTGTTGATCCAGTCTGGTTGCAGTTCAGTGACAGCTCTCTGACTGGCCCACATCCATCTGCACTATTCCAGTAAAATCAGAGGAAAACATTTGTATTTCCACAACATGTTTGGGTTTTAGTCTGAAGTAATGCTCAAAATACATAAAAACAAACAATCGACACAATGTCTGATTCAAATGTGAAGAAATACATACATGGGACAAACAACAAGAAAGAAACAGAGTTAAAATGTTCAACCAAATATAAATCTAACTTCTTCCCTGAACCTGTCTTCATTCATTTTAACATGTCCTATATGCTTGTTAGTAATCAATAAACCAATAGGGGGAAAAATAAAATAGAGCAAACGAGTGCACAAGCTGAATGTTGGGACATTTTAAGCCCTGAATTGCAGCTGCCGCTCTGTGAAATCCAAMCCCCCCTTCCCCTCAGCATAATTCATTGCCTACCTGCAACCTGAAACCACAATGACTTTAGCGCAACGTAAACAGAGAATAAAAACCRGACACAATTTACAAATCTCTCGCCTGACTGAGAAACGACATCTTAACCTACTTTTATTTCAACATGATAAAAACAAGAGCTTACAGAACCATGGACAGCGACAACATAAAAGCTGCTCATCTGCACGGCTCCCAAGTGTCATCAGAGCAGCTTTCCACAGCTAGGACTCGTCACATACAGTTCCAGGAAGTCTGGCATTTATGATCAACTGAATTTTCTGTTGTTTGAACTCTCTGAAAGGCCTGATAGATTGTGTTCACACAAGAGGAGAAGAAGATGCAGGCTTCAACAGTTACCCTAAACTTTTTTTTTACTGGCATGCCAAACATCCTCATGTCCTAACATGGCATTGTCCAGTAACCATCCAACTATTCAAGTGCGTCAGTTGTTCTGGACATTTATCATACCAGCTCAAAGGTCAAGCCCTTTTCAAGTTGTCCTGGAAGGACAGAGATCAATAGGTTCTTCAGAATCTGCTGCAGTTTCTCTCATGTTTTGTTTCCAGTAGGTGAAAGAGTTGTGTTATCAGTCTGAGATTCACCCTACAGTATGGTTTTATGGTCCTTGTCAGACAGTGCACAAGTTTAATGGACCACTTGCCATGGGTTAGCTTCATCCAGCACAAAAGTCCGTCTTGGTTCCAGGTTGGTATGTTTTGGAGCATCATCAAGCTTGAGCCCAGACAGAACAAGCTGGCCTCCAAGATCTTTATTCATGAAGCCATTTCGCAGCACAAAAAAAAGGTGTTGCTGTACATGAAGGATCAGTGAGATGTGAACGTGAGAAAACGCTTCATGCGTGGACGAGGAGGAGGACAGAACCACCCCAGAGATCAAAGGCCTGCACTGCCTGTGGCCCCAAACACTGAAGACCTTCATTCCTTTTAACCCACGGATAAAGAATATGTGGCTCTTTGGTAGAGGCGACCTCCTGAAAGAAAYCAACACTTATTTAGAATGTGTTAGTCCAGTTTAAGACATTGGGGTGTTAAAAGTTAGGCTTCATTGCACCTGAAGACCGTCAGGGACATGTTAACACGGATGAGCGAGCATAGCTCAAATTAACAAAGTTTTGCTTGAATTTTTAGTTTTTCTTTCAGGTTTTTGTCTTTTACCCACAATTTCGGGTGAAGCAATGTTCCCCATGTTGGCCTTCAAAAGTCARACTCTAGATTTAAATTAGGATCACTGACGATGAACAACAACTGCTTCAGGATGAAGTCATGCTTTAATTAAGTCTCAAGGCTTTCTGAGACCAACTTTTGCAAATAATCAAAAAGAAAAACATGGATTTCAGCACGTCACAAGAGGCGGGTGATCATGCCGTTTTATTATTTTTTTATTGTGCCCATGTGTGTATGTGCATGTCTTAATTTGTCTGTTAGCAARATATCTCATGCACAGCTGGCATAGATTTTAATTAAACTCTCAAAGKGTAATTATAGGATGTACCTCAACAAGTGATTAAACTTGAAGCAAKTCCAAATCAAGATGTCTGCTAAAGTCAACTGAAGTTGGAAAACACAAGAATTGCTACGAGTCATTCAGTTCTACGGACATTGAACTGAAATTTGGTGTGTTATTAGTTGAGAGTGGGCCACAACACAAGCTCTGATTGACAGTTGATCACAAGAGATCTTGGTGTAAAACTTCACCATTATTTTTTGGAGTCGATGCTGCCTGTCTGTTAGCAAAATATCTCATGCACCACTGAATATATTTCATTAAAACTCATAGAAAGTAATAATAGGCTGTACCTCAACGACTGACTAAATCTTGGTGCAAGTCCAATTCAAGATGGCCGCCACAGCTAAGTGAACTTAAAAAACACAAAAGTGACTTCAAGTCTCTCAACTTTACAGATATCCAGCTAAAATTTGGATGGTTAGTAGCTGAACTTTGTCCTTATATTTACATAAGTTTCACACAGAAGGAGCTTCTCGCTTAAACTTTTGACATTAATCTTTAGAGTCAACTCTGTCTGTTAGCGAAATAGCTGATGAACCACTGGGCAGATTTTATTGAAACACAACTGATAGATGTTTGAAGTCAACCTAATTCAAGACTTTATGGGTAAATTTAGGAAACAGAAAAATGGTCACAATTCATTAAACTGGACAGATTGAGTTAAGATTYGTGGTTGTAGCTGAGTCATGCAAAGTTTAAGTGTTAATGTGCTACAACTTCACCGTTTCTTAACGCAAAGATGATGTTAGGTTAAAACTCTGGCATAAAGGACAACAAGTCATTAAGGTTTTAGTCATTAAAGTGTTCCTTTTGTTTTCTACGAACTCATGTCACAGTTTCCAAGTTTAAATGTCAGAAAGTGAGTGAAGTCTCAGCCCCCATCACTTAACATGCTGCAGACTCTATTTAGTCTTACCATTGTTTCATGTCAGGGCCATGGACATGATTTCCCTCCAACCAGTCTTAAGTGAGGGCCTTTTTTTTTCATTTGGTTAAAATGGACCTGTGTTTTTTCCTGTTATTGTTCATTTATAGATCTGTCTCCTGTCTCCACACCACGCACTGTTAACTTGGCTGTTTCCGATTTTACATCCTCCCATACATAAATTATGATATTGTGCTGCTGATAATGAAAGCCTTTACACAAAGACGTGCCCCCCACCTCACCCCCACCCCTCTCTTTCTGTGTGTTATCATAAAAGTCATTATTAGTTTATTCTCTGAAACCTCTGGACTTTTCTCCAAGATAAGTCAGCTAATATTGGCTTACAATAAAAGCCGTGAATGTGGCAGCGTACAGATTTCTTCCAAGTGTCAGCTGTGATGTAATGTGTCTGCAGGTATAAATATAGAGGCATGGCTGCTCCTCCGCGTCCGCGCAGATCAGTGTCGCTCCGGCGCTGAAGCCAGAGTGCGCCTGTCGGTCTGGGAATGAGCGCAACTTTGACACGCTCTCCTCTGTGGCCCCGCCGCCTCATCTGCTTCTTCCTCCGCGCTCACCGGAGGGCCAAACGCCGGGAGGTCGCCCTCAGGGCCGGAGGCGGCATGGGCTTTCTGTCGGCGCTGAGGACCGTCCTGGTGCTGGGCCTGGTGACGGGCCTGGCGGGATGCGCGCCCGGCCTGAACGGCACGGTGGACCGCTGGGAGGCCCTGTACTCGCGCTCCCTGGCGCGGCTCCCGGGGGAGAAGCGGGAGGAGGCGAGCCGGGACGGAGACTACCTCCTGGGCATTAAAAGACTGCGGCGCCTCTACTGYAACGTGGGGATCGGCTTTCACATCCAAGTGTTACCAGACGGCAGAATTACCGGGGTCCACAGCGAGAACCGTTATAGTAAGTGGCCTCATTTATTAATAAGTTCCACCACCTCTGGAAGACCCCTAAAATAAAGACCTGACATCATTAACTGAAATAGCAAAAATAAATAGAAGTTAATAACACTGAATTTTAAAGGAACTTCTGATCCAAACTTTATTTTGCTCCTTTATTAAAAGCGACAGCTTCACTGCACCACATTCTGATCCGGATCTGTGAGTCCGCATCACAGCTCCTCTCTTGGTTCCGCAGAACAGAAATCTGCGCGTGTTTCTTGCGCCTGACGTGAAATCAGAGCCGGCTGTGATCCGGGGCCAGCAGCCTAAAGTTAGGACAAGAAGCAACGGGGCCCAGACCTGATCTCCGAACCAGAATCTAGAATTCAGCCTTAAAGACAAGASTGGAACTGGCAAACTTCCAGCTTTTAATTATTTATTTGTCTGTTTGTTTAATTTATTTCGTTTTTTTTAAATATATTTAATTACTTTATTTATTTATTTGGTCCAGGAAAATGAAAAGAAAACAGAAACCAAGTGAGGAAATAACTGCAGTTCAGTAGTCTTCATCAGTTTGTTCAATCATTGATCCCAAATGATGAAGTATTTTATCGGTAAGCCCAAAGGAATAGTTTTGCTTCAAGTGTTTGTTAGCAAAATATCTCATGAACCACTGGGCGGATATTAATGGGACGTCCAGAAAATAATTACTGGATGTAAATCTACTATCAGTTACCTTTTAGAGTCATTTCATACCAACATGGCTGCCTCAGCTAATTGAAATATGCCTACAACTACAGCTCAGTCAAACAGATATTAACCTCAAATTTGGTGTGGAAGTATAGCTAAGAATGATCCCCAACACATACTCTGAGCACTGATCAATCATCTGAGTTCTGTGTTTAATATGTGACCCRTAACTGTTTGGAGTCAACAGTGTCTGTTAGCAAAATATCTCATGAACCACTGGACGGATTTTAACAGAACTCTCAATAATGAATAATGTAGCATCTATACTGTAAAAAATGAAATGTTGGATTTACTTAACCATGTTATGTGACCTGGTTCCACTTAACTGCGTTGAGTAAATCCAAATCAATATACCAGTTTTTTAACCAAAGAACATGAGTATGTTGCTTTGAATTTACTCAACTCAGTTAAGTGGAACCAGGTAACATTATATGGTTAAGTAAATCCAACATTTCATTTTTAGAGTGTGCATGTGATTAACTTTTAGAGTTAACCTAATTTAAAATAGCCAAGTTATCTAAGAAAATACAAAAATGGATTTATTTCAGTTATTTTACAGATCTTCAACTACAAATTGATGTGGTAGTAGCTGAGAGTTATGCAACATATAAACTCTGAGGACTGACAGATWGAGAATGATGATAAAGATTTGACCTAAATGACTTTAACGCTGTCATTTCTCAACATAAGATGTTAAAACTCTGGCAGGAAGACAGGTGATAATCATTGTTTCAAGGGATGCTAATAGTTTGTTTATTGAGTTACATTTGCAACCAAGCAATCATGTGTAGATTTGTTGATTTTTGGACCTCCAGTAATGAAACATTTACAATTGAAGCTCATTTACATGTTAATTTCTCACATTATGGATGTGATTTCATGCCGTCTTCACGGCTGAAAATGGATGCTTTTATTCGCACCCACAAATAAAATGTCAGTTTTGAGGAGCAACAAATGTGTACCTGCACCTTCCTTCAGGGTCTTCTGTTTGTTTTGTTGAAGGTGTCCTGCAGATCTCCCCCGTGGAACGAGGGGTGGTGACTCTGCTGGGCGTTCACAGCGGGCTCTTTGTGGCCATGAACCGACGAGGAAAGCTGTATGGATCTGTGAGTGCACGCAAAACACACCAAATATTCAGCACACACACTCACTGATCTGATGAAAACCAGAAGGAAAAGTTGTTCATGTTCAGCTGTCAATGTTTTAATGGTTGGTTTTTACCTTGTGTGGTCTGCAGCATGTAGAAGTAAAATCAAAAACCCAACTCCTTCACTGCTTTTGTTGAATTGTGGCAAATCCAGTTTTGATAATAAAGTTGAACACAAATAGAAGTAGAGTTTTGAGTGTAGAAGTGCACAGCTTTCAAATGATAAAAMCTAATGTAAAAAACTACTCCACAGCTGCTTTCTCATTCAGTTTGAATGAATTGTTGTCTTGCAGCTGAATGGAGTTTGGTGTTTCAGTTAACCAAAAGGCGGGTGATAATGGTTTTGCCTCTTGTCTATTTGTTTGCAAAATATCTCATGAACCACTRGGYGGATTTTAATGAGACATCCAGAAAATAATTGCTGGATGTAAATCTGMAATCAATTATCTTTTAGTCATTTCATGTCAATATGGTTTTGCTGATTGAAATGTGCACACAACTGTCTGCAGCCCAGTCAGTTAAACAAATATTAAGCTCAAAATTTGGTGTGAAAGTATCTCCACATACTCTGAGCACTAATTTATCATGTGAGCTCTGTATTTAAAATGTTGCCCTTAACTGTTTGGAGTCATGTTATTGTTATGGTTTACAATGGAAAGCTGAGAAAAGTTCACATTTTTTAGCAGGTTTGCAGGTATCAGATAAAAAATCAGCTGAGTGAACTTCAGCTTATCTTGTTTGTTGCTTGGAAGAAACTGATGGCTAAAATCAATATGTGGATATATTTACTGTTTGGTTAGAGGTTTCTCTGTGGTTTCCAGATCCACACAAAACCGTCAGGACAGTGTGTTATACTATTTTCATTTTTATTTGTTTTATTTATTTTTTTCTATTTTTATCTTTCCAAAACATCAATTGGAAGGATATAATCC